AACTCAACGGCAGTGCGTTGCATTTGTTTAGGGAGTGGTGCTTAAGAGAGTAGCAGACTTACAGACTTGGATTTGAGACCCAGCTCCTCCACTTAGTAGCTGAGCAGCCTTGGGCAAGTTTCTGAAACGCTCTGAGTCTTAGCTTCCTTATTGCATAAAAAGAAGATGTTACCATTTCATGGGGTGGTTGGCGAGATAGAGAGCTCAGAGCCATAAAGCACTTTTCCATGGGGCTGGGTTGCTAGATAAAATATAGAATGCCCACCCAGATTTCAATTTCAGATAAACAGTGGATACATGGTTAGTATAAGCATGCCCCAAATACTGGGTACTCCATAATTTTATTTGCTAAATCTGACAACCCTTCCATGAGGTTGTGTGTCACAATGTGGAGCTGACTGCCTGAAACTGGGACCATCTCCCAGCAGGCCCAGTGACAGCAGCTATCTCCTAGGTGGTTCTGAACTTCTTTTTTAATCTACTTGAATTAAAGTATAACCCTGTGCCTCTTAGGAGCTCTGATGGCTTAGTGCCTAATGCATTTGACTGCTAACCAGAAGGCTGGCGGTTCAAACCCACCAGCCACTCCTCGAAGGAAGGTTGGACAGTCTACTTCCATAGAGACACCACCTTGGAAACCCAAGGAGGGGTTGCTATGAGTCGAATCGACTGGACAGCAGTGAGTTTGGTTTTTTTGGTTTATGCCTCCTAGAATTTTTTAGCGGGGAGTAGGTATAACAAAATCAGCCACATGAAATGATAACGCCATTCATCATTTACTTACTGAGACACAGCCGTGAAGGAGAAGCCCAAGGAACCTGCCTTCCTGGCACTTACAGTCTGGGGAGTGAGGGAGGGGGCGGAGCAAACTAGACCATGTGAGTAGATGCACAACGATGATTACACATTGTGATAAATACTCTGGAACAAGAGTGAGGGATGGAATATAGTCAGGTTGAGTTTAACTGGTATAAAACGTCATGACCCAGTCAGTCTGCATACTTTGGCCCCCATCAAATGCTGCTTGTCGGTCTCTACCCCCTTCTCTCCTCCCATTGCTTTGGGCATCTCTCCATTTCCTAGTCCCCAACCTCCTCCTTCCCATTTCAGGCTCATGGGACTCTGTCAGTTTTCCTACTCATGGCCACACCATGTGTGTGTCAGAGTATCACTGTGCTCCATAGAGTTTTTAGTGGCTGATTTTTTGGAAGTAGATTACGAAGTCTTTCTTCAGAGATTCCTCTGGATGGACTCAAACCTCCAGCCTTTCTATTAGCAGCCAAGTGCGTGGACCACCCAGGGACTCCTCAGACTTCTTGGGCCTTAGAAGTCTGCTCTCTTCTCTTTGGTCTCTGGAAAGCGGCTGCAGCTTCTCTGTTTTTTCTTCCCTCTGAATCTGATGAGGAGCAACTGGCTTCTTCTAGGAGGGTAAATCCAATACTCATTGTCTAACATGGTCATTAACATTTGCTTGTATCACTGCTTTATTTACATATACATATTTATTCATAAATTTATATTTGCAAAGAGGGTCCCCTGAACTCCAGTCTTATAAAAAAATATATATAGGATGCCCTTTCCATCCTGGCACCATTCCCATTCCCATCAAGTGAGTTTACTAGTGAGAGTGGTGAGTTGATTTGTTCCTAGCAAAATGATCCCACAGGAGCATGCTCCTAATGTGAGCTCACATTCAGAATGCGTGAATGCATGGAGGATGAGGGCAGGAGAAGGGGTCATGAAAAGGGAGAAAACCAGGTACAAATAGGAAGGGAGGAGGCAAAGGAAATGGGACTCAAGGTCTGGGGAAGGAGGCCATCAGTTGGGGCTTGGGCTGCCCCTTGTTTGAGTAGCTGTAAACCTGGTATTTCTCCCCACCTCTCAGCATAGTGCCTAAGGCACCTGACTGCTAACCAGAAGACTGGTGGTTCAAACCTACCAGCCACTCCTCGGAAGGAAGGTTGGGCAATCTACTTCTATATTGATAAATGCCTTGGAAACCCAAGGAGGGGTCGCTATGAGTCGGGTCCAACTCGACGGCACATAACAACAACAACTCACCTCTAGGTCCTAATGGAGACACCTTCCTAGTCATTTCTTGTACCTTATGGGCTGATTGAGGAGTCCTGCTTGCACAATGGTTAAGGCATGGCTGCTAACCAAAAAAAGGTCTGCAGTTTGAACCTATCCAGTGAATCTGCAGGAGAAAAGACCTGGCAATCTAAGATTACAGCCTAAGAAACCATATGGGGCAGTTCTTCCCTGTCCTTCTCTGTCTGTAGGGTCTCTGTGAGTTGTAATTGACTCAGTGGCACACAACAACAGCATGGGCTGGTTACTAGAGAAGGCTGGAGTGATGGGATGTTTTACTTCTTGCTGACCTTTGGTTCTTCCCCACCTGAAAGGCCTGGGAGGATGGTTTGGGATCTAGAGGGTTGCAGCTGAGTGTGCTAACTATTTGGTCCACCCAGAGATTCTGGAATTCACTGTGATCCTGCATCTTTTCTCATGAACACTTTCTTGACAGAAGGCACAGGGAAAAGTGTTATTTGCTAGGTGACTTTAAACAATATGTGGAACGTACCTGGCCTTGGTTTGACCTTGGCTTGAAAGCTCTGATGGTTACCATTTATTGACTGTCTTAACAGTGTGCCAAGTCTGGGCTGAATACTGGACTCAACTCATCTTGTTTAACCCCAACCACGCCTCTGGGGTTAGGTTCCCAGAGGCTAAGTAACTTACCAGGTTCACTCCTAACAGGTAAGTGGTGCAAGGGTGTAAGCGCAGACCCATCTGGTCATTCATTCAGCCATATACTCTTTACTGTAGGCACAGAGGAATCATCCCTCTGGGTCTGTTATGTGTGCTGGTTAGACTGGCAGGCTAGGACAGGACATGGTTCTCCTACAACCTGCCTGTGGCAGGTTCTCAGTTGAAGGTCATGGAGGTGAGGAGAGTCTGGTGCTGGGGCAGCACCCCATCCCTGTTAGAGGCAGAGGCACCTGCAGTGGCCGGTGCCTGAGGAAGAGCTGGGTGCAAGAAGAGCTATAGACTGGAAGTCACGCCGTCTAGGGTCAGGTCCAGGCCCTTCTATTATCACCTGTGGATTTTGGGGTCAGTCTCATGGTTTGGTTTCCTTGTCTGTGACATCAGGGACATAAACAGTGCCTGCTCACCATTCAAGCATCTGGGTGGCAAAAATGGTTTGCATTTGACTAGTAATGGAGAGGGTGGTAGTTTTAGTCCACTAGGCAGTGCTGTGGAAGAAAGGACTGGTGATCTACTTCAGTAAGATTACAGCCATTGTAAACCTTGTGGGGTAGTACTACTCTTTAACATATGAGTCAGATCAACTCAACATCAGCAGGTTTGGTTGTTTGGTTTTACTTACGTCCCAGAGCTGCTGTGTGGTTGGATAGATGGTGGGTAAGTAGAGGAAGGGCTAACTGCATGTTGAAGAGACTGTTATCTTGGGTATCTGGACACCACACCTGGTTATAACTTGGAAGCATGGGTGTTTGTTCATACACTTGCTCCCAAAAATATTTAGATAAAACTTAGACACACACATACATGCACACACACACACACATACATACAGTTCTTCAAGACAGAAGGATGTAAGTGAAGAAAGTGAAAATAAGAACAAATGTGATGAAGCCAGGGGTACATTTAATACTGGAAATACATGATACAAGGGCTTGTGTATTTGCTAGAGGTTTAGCCCTGTGCTTTCTAACAGCATATACCAAGAAGGAAAAGGGTCAAGTTTTGAATTCCACAGTGTCCATTGGATAAAAACAAATGGCTTTTTCTGAAGGAGTAGGCCATCCCTGGCCCTGAACCCTAAGAGCGGTAGAAGCAGTGGGTCTACACTGTGCCGCATGTTTAAAGAAAATAACCTGCCCGTTGCCTTGTCTGCTTCTGATGAGGTCTCACCCAGAACATGGCCAGTTTACATTGCAGCTCCAAGTGCATATGATGCAATGAGGCTGCACCTGGTCATTAGCCTCCCCCTCCTTCCCCAGAAGGCAGGGATTTCTTCCCCATGCAGCAGGTGGTCTGTTCATTGGTGGGGCAGCAGGGCTGAAGCATCCTCACTCTATGAGGCCTGGGCATGCACGCTGGCCAAGCTGCACAGCTGTTAACTGCTTGCAAGAAACACTCAGGCAAGCTAGCGATGTGAGTAGGGCATGCCCCAAGACAGGAGCTTGGAAATGGCAGTAGGGCAGTATATAGCCTTTGTTTCCTGGTGTGTGCTTCTCCAGTGTGTCGGTTTCATTCTCCTTGCCTTTAGACTATGTCTTTTGGGCTCCCACATACTTTGGTTTGCATGTTGTTTTAGCTTGCCATTGCTGTCATAGAGCTTCGAGGCATTTTTACCTTCTGCTAAACTCCCTGTGCAATGGTTAAAGCATTTGGCTGCTAACCAAAATGTCAGTGCTTTGAAAATCCACCAGTGGCTCTGTGGGAGAAAGATGAGGCAGTCTGCTTCTATAAAGCTTTATAGCCTTGGAACTCCTATAGGGCAGTTCTCCTCTGTCCTATAGGGTCACTGTCAGTTGGAATTGACTAGATGGTAGCAGGTTTGGTTTCGGTTTGGCTGGCATCCCCGTCTCTCAATCCTCTAGTCCAAATTCCCAAGAGAAAGGTCTGATTTGGATAGTTTATTCTTTTCAGCTAAGTCACTCCAGATGGACTTTCTTTGGGGCGGGTCACCCTGGTGCAAGTAGTTGAGATAGAGCTATAGAGGGCAGTATCTCTTAACAGGGGTCATGGATGAAGGAGGCACTCCAAAACATATCTAACACACTAGATGTGTGCTTCCTGGGGCAGGCAGTCCTGCCTTGACACCCCCTAACCTGACTTGCTTTGGACATTTGCAGGGTAGATATGGATTCCCAGTGAGCCCCCTGGCCAGCACACACCCTAATCTACACTATGGGATTGTGAAGTCAGACACTTCTGGGGGCTCTGGCGCAGCTTTTGCTCTGTGGATGATGGGTGACGACAGACTCTCTGACCACCCGAAATCCACGGAATTTCTCAACATCTGTTTGGGAGAAAACCTGCAGCCCAGCCCAGGACTTCACCCGAGAGAACCAAGCAGCCAACCTGAATTTCCTGGACCTTGTGGAGAACAGACCTGGGCCTTTGACTCTCCTGATTCCATGAGGCAAGATGCTGCTAGGGGCTCTGAGACACAGCTCATGCATCGGGAGAGCTTCTCTTCTGAAGAGGCGCACCGGCAGCGAACAACACCCCCCAGGTCGCCCAGAGACAGCCATCCTCTGGGGAGCCCACGGAGGAGCCAGAGCAGTTCCGCCCAAGTCATGTTCTGGGCTGGCATCCTCCAGGCCCAGATGTGTGTGCTCGATCTAGAGGAAGAGCTGGAGAAGACTGAAGGGCTCAGGGCTGAGCTGAGATGCTGCCTCCCTGTGGCCCCTACAGACCTATCCACCAGCCCAGCGAGTCCCCGAGACTCAGGCTTCCACCCAAGGTCCTCACCCATGGAGGAGAATGTGGGGCAAGACAGCAGTGGGCCTGAGGGGAAGAGCGAGGGGTGGCCAAGGGAGAGAACACCAGGCTCTTCTCCGGAGTGGGGTGCTGAGGAGGAGAGTCTGTTCTTTGACAACCCCCTCTTCCTGAAGAGCCCTTGCTCCGAGACCTATGCTTCTGGAGAGCACTTTTCCTGGGGGTTCCCAGACACCCTTGCAGATGGGAAGACTGGACCTGACAGTCCACAGACTCAGGAGCCTCCACTCCCAGGAAGTGGAGTTCTCTGGGAGCTGGGAAGTGAGCTGGGTTTGGAGGATGACGGCACAACTGATTCCAGTGGACATACCACCCCTCCATTCCCTGTGCCCATCTACAAAGTGCATTCCCTCTCCTGGGCCACAGGGGGTGCCACTGATGAGGCTCCCACAGCACTTCCTGGCCAGGTGGAGAGCGAGGTAAGCACTCAGGCTGCACAGGGCAGCACATAAGGGGAGGGCCTTCCTCTGAGGTCTTCAGGCCTAGAATGCTCTTTTTAGATGCTAAGGTCTTTTGAGATCCTGGGGTAATACAGCAGAAAATAAGGATGAGTTTGGGCTTCAGAATTATAGGAAATATTATTGATGCGTGATATTACCTGAGTATCGTGGAGATTAAGTTCACAAATGTCTCCATCTAGCCAGCTCTAAAGGGCTACATTTGAGTACATTTCGAGAACAAACAGTTCCTCCAATTGCTGCCTGTTCCAGGCCATTCTCAGACTCTGCCTCCAAGGCATTCCCACTGTAACAGGGCAGGGGTCAGCCTGCAAGGGTGACTTCTTTCCCTAATGGGGAGATGTCTGTTTTAGGAGTCCTGCCCTGTCTTTCTTGAGAGATTTCAGCATTTTGTTACTTTCAGCTCAGCATCTCTCATTCACCCCCACCCTGCTTCAATAGATCAGGCCCATATGACAATGGCAAGGATCCATCATATCATCTAGGGGTGGGGACAATAGTGAACAGCATAGTTTTCCCAGGGAGGCCTCTCCTTAAGAGATAAGGCAGGGCAAGATGGCAGAGCGAGGGCTGTAACTTTCTAATTTTCCTAATCCCACAGAACAACGGAAACGAAATCTTAGCCAGGCAGCTCTTGCACCTGAACCCTGAGATCAGAGGATCTCCCTCAGTACTGATTAAAATCCCCTCAACGCGTAGGCCAGTCAGGTCCCCAGAGTTGGGTGGCCATTGCTATGTCCTATGAAGGTGTTCTGGTGGCCTAGTGCCTAAGGCATTTGACTGCTAACCAGAAAGCTGGTGGTTCAGAACCACCAGCCACTCCTCAGAAGGAAGACTGGGCAATCTGCTTCCATAGAGATACTACCTTGGAAACCCAAGAAAAGGTGGCCATGAGTTGGAAGTGACTTGATGGCAGTGAATTTGGTTTAGTTTTTTGGTGCAAAGGTGCCTTCTCTCAGGACTTTTTGCTCTCTAGGGACCTCAGAGGGAAGCCTGTGATCACCATCTTTGATCTTGCATTCTGGGATGGCCAAGCCCAGCCCCACGCCTGGGGACTATTGCCTCCCTATAACAAACAGCCTCTCCTTGGGCTGGGACCCCTGGAGGCAAGGCTATCTAGGTGGACTGGGAAGGGAGGAGGATGGGAGTGGAGGACACTAGAGGCCTTTGCATGTGGGAAAGGCCCTGGAGGCAATTTCTCTCAGCTCAAACCTTGCTCCTCTCCTTTTCTTCCCTCCCTAAGAATTCCTCAAGAGACATTGTTGGTCCTGCCCCACCTGCAGCATCTTGTGTGGACAAAGCATTGGCCTGGGAGTCAGGACACTTTGGATCTGGCCTTGACCCTGCCACTCACCCTGTGCAGCCTTGGGCAAGTCATTTCCTTCCCCTCTCTGGGTATCGCTTAGTCCATCTGTAAGAGGAACATGAACCCAGTGGTTCCCAGGGACTAGGATCCAACATTTCTAGGATGTAGTGCTTCTCCCATGCAGGATTCCTTTTCAGACTGGTGCCAGTGTCCCCTAAACAGGAGGATGGGGAGGGCTGCTTCAGTGTTCCTCCTAGTCAGTCTTCTCCTGCCCTCTTTTCCACACCCTGCCTGGCTTCTCCCTCTTCTCTCAGTATCTTCAGGGCTCATGGTAACTCCTGTGCTTCTCTCCACAGGCCCTGCCCTGTCCTGAGGGCCGGCAAACAGAGGAGGGTTCTTCTTCACCCCAGATTCCTCTCAGTTCCCAGGACAGAGGTGAGACCTAATATAGGAGGATGAGATTAGTCTGTTGGGGAACTGGGTAGTATGAGGCTTTGGGGTCACCAGGAGTTGGATGGTAGTCAATGGTAGTAGGTTTTATGTCTGTCACTAAGAGGCCCTATTGTATTTTACTGGAGCCAAACACACTTGGAGAAAATCCTACTTTCTCTGCCTCTGTGACTTCACCCATAAAATAGGCATAAAAATACTGATCTTACTAAGCAAATGTAAAAATGTGCAAAGGAACTAGCATTTTTGATGCCCAGTTCTTAATGGTTTAGCAAAACTTCTGAATCCCTGGTTGCCTTGGGGCTGAGTCCCAGCCCTTTGCCTGCTGCCTCCGCATGTAGGAGAGGTCACTGCCTGAGGGAGGGAGGGACATGCTGCCCTACAGCTCCATGGGAGGTGCCTCAAGAAGGGAGGTTCTGGAGGTGACAGCTCAGGCTATTCTCCTGGCTCTGCCAGGCCTCTTGACCCACAGCCGGCCTCCCATCTGTGTGTCAGCCTCACCTCATGTTCTTCCTCAGGTCACAGTGATGCTGAGTGTCTGCAGGATTCTGCCACCTGCACCTTGGCCCGTTGCTCCTGGGGGACCCCAGATTCTTCACCAGAGCCTAGCAGCCCAGAGTCTGAGAGCAGAGGTCCTGGCCCCTGGCCCACCCCCGTGTCCTCCCAAGAGGGGAGCCCACAGCTTCCACGCCACCACTCGGGCAGCATTTTCCCCAAGTGGACACTGGATGCTTCACACCTTTCACTCCTGGAGAAAGCTGAGGTCGAGACAAGTTCCCTGGAGAAAGAGGAGGCAAGGGGGACCTCAAGCCCAGAGGAGGAAGTAAAGAGGGAAGACCCAGTCAGCACTGAAGAGGCTAAAGCTGTCCAGCTAGACGTTGATTCAACTTTTACAGAAGGGTAAGTGTCAGACTAACTGGCTTTCTGGCTCCTAATAATTATGGGTGCATTTAGGAATACCCTGATGTGACTGGAGCATGACAAAGGCACATTGGGATTTGCCTAAGATTTACTAATCAGGAGTCCCTGGTTAGGGTAAATGGTTAGGTGCTAGACTACTAGCTAACAGACTGGTAGTTCAAACCTACCCAGAGGTGCCTTGGAAGGAAGGCCTGGTGATCTGTTTCTAAAAGGTCACGGCCTTGAAAACCATATGGGGTTCAACCATACTCTGGACACATGGGGTCATCATGAGTCAAAGTTGACTTAATGGCAACAAACAACAACATTTACTAAGCCAGGATTATTTGAGTGGGGATCAGCAGAGTTTGAGAAAGAAGAGAGGCTTTGAAAGGACAAGAAATGACAGAGCAGATATTCACACTCCTGGATGCAGTTCTGGACATGCTGAGGTGCCATGTGAGAAGTGCTCAAGGGAGGAAAGAAACCAGGAGAGGAAAGAAAAGGAGGAGGTGGTCAGGGAACCTGACCAGGGCCATGTGCCAAGAAAAATGGCAGCAGTGTTAGGCACGTTTGGGGAGTCAAAAGTCAGAGCTTGTAATGTGAGGGCTATAGACTGCTTTGAAGTTGAGGAGTTGTCTGGGAGATATTTATAAGAGAACATAAGGCCAGGGTGCTGGCTAGGATCTTAGGGGAGCACTAAGGGGAAAGCTTCATTAGAACTGAGAAAATGGATCTTGGGGCCCACAGTGGGTTGAATAACCTTACAACAGTAGCCAGAGAGAGGAATAAGCCCACTGGGAAACAAAACTTGATTTATTCCTGCCCCAAGCCAGGGAGGGTTCAGCTCATGGAACTAATAGTCCAGTACATAGAGAGTTAATCCCTTGCATCTCATTATCCTTGGGTGATGGCACCCCAACATTAGTCAGCACCAGAAACCAAGGAGCCATTTTCTTCATGCATGTGGAAAACTGTGATGTCCCTGGAGATGTTCACAGGTTTGGTAACCAGAGGAGCCCTTGAGAGTCTTGTTATACCAGAAGTTAAAGTTCATCCAACTTAAAACAAGAGTAAGTGAATCCACCTAAAGTGAGAACCACACTTTCATAATAAATAATAATAATAAAAAAAAAAGGTTTAGCCAGGGCTTTGTTGTTGTTAGGTGCTGTTGGGTTGATTCTGACTCATAGCTACCCATTAGGACAAAGTCGAAATGCTCTATAGGGTTTTCTAGGCTGTAATATTTATGGGGTCAGATTGCTTGGTCTTTCTCCCACAGAGCTGTGGGGTGGGTTTGAACTGCTGGCCTTTCGGGAGGCAGCCTAGCTAGCACTTAACCATTATACCACCGGGGCCCCTTCTTATAGCATCATTTTCATGGACTTCATGAAATTCTGTGTCTTGTTTTGCAAGATTTGTTTTTTCATCTAGCTTTCATTGTTTGCTCTGTGTCACTGGATCTTTATGAGCCCAGAGAAGCGATGAGAAGTTATCAGCAAAGACCAGGGACCCAGCCTGTGGGCAGAAGTGAATGTTTGTGTTAAGTGAGAGGGCTGTTGAGTGAAGTCTAATTTTATAAGTGGTCAGTTTATTAGTGAATGTTTTCATATTTTGATGTTTTTTGCTTGCCTGCATAATTCCCCTAAGTGTGGTAACTTGCATAATGAATATTCAAATAACTGGGATATCCCAGACCTCAAGAGCTGAGTACTCAATAAGCAAGGTAAGTGTGGGCTTACTTGTGCTCATTTACTAATCCGTTATGAACAAAATGCTTACTTTGCTTACTGGGTACTCTGCCCCTGGCAGAGATTGTAAATTTGAAAAGAGGCTTTGATTCTGTAAGGAAGGTGCTGTGGGGTTGGGAGAAAGAGTCAGTCAGATGCCAGCCATACCTAGAAGCAGAATCTTTGATGTGGTGAAGAAAATGAGAAATTGTTCATTACAGATTAGTCGGTAAGCACAGGTAAGCCCCTGCTTACCTGGATTAAGGGGTATTCTGATACTGCCCGACCTGGTTGTCATGTTGCAGGGGAAACAGAAAGGCCACGGAGAGGTTGGACTTAGTGACATCTGAGATTCAGTGTTAGATTCGGAGTGTTTTGTGAGTCTGCTGGGGGTTCCCTGTGCCTATTTACAGTCATAATTGGTCACCATCCAATCCTTTCGTGGTGAGGGAGTTACTTTTATACAGAGGTACCAGAGCCACTCCATAGAAGGAAAATGGGGCGATCTACTTCCTTAAAGATTTATATTGCCTTGGAAACCCAGTGGGGGTCGCTATGGGTCAGAATCGACTCAGTGGCAGTGAGTTTGGTTTTTGGTTTGGTTTACCAGAGTCAGAGCCAACTCAATGGCACCTAACAACCACCAGATAAGGGCAGTGAGAGGTTGAAAGTCCCCTCTTTACTCCTCCAGCTGTCATTATTCCTCAAGCCAGCCTAGCTTCCTGTTCTCAGCTCAATCCTTAGCATCTTTTTCAGCACCAGATCTAGGAATAGAGACTGGAGCAGGAAGTGGGAGGTGTGAAAGAGGGGCAAGGAGGCATTATGAGGATGCCAGGACAGGTAAGGGAGATGAACAAGTAGCCTTCTGAGGTTTGGGGAGATGATCCCACCTGCCTTTGGGTCAGATTCAACACCATTTAGGTCTCCAAAGAGCTGATGCCTCTTCCACCGGGGGTAAAAAAAGCTCAGAACATCCCTGTAGTTTGCCTGAGAAAGAGCTAGGTACCAAGCTTGTCTCTAACCCTTATCGGCATTGGTAAATCTCCTGCTCTAGGTTCTCTTGGTTCTCAGCCCAGATCAGGCTGTGTCAGACTGGCTGTGATTCTGCCTTTTTCCTGGGTGAGGCCCTGCGACCAGCTCCTCCCCAACCTTTCAAGGCCTTAAGCTCTAGCTCTGACTCTGAGCTCTGAGTGTGGACTCTGGGATCCCCCAACCTGACCTGCAAGGACACTTGACCCAGAACCCCTTGATTTATATCCCAAGTGGTATTAGGGACCTGTGGGAGTCTAAGGACACCAATGGACTCTTCCAGGCTTCCTGAGAGCCCCATGCCTCAAGTACAGCCCACAGAGGAAGGCCAGAGGCCACAGGCTGGAGACAAGCTGGCTAATGGTGTCAGGACTGACAAGGTGGCCTGGAACTTGGCCTCGCGCCTCTATCACCTGGAGGGTTTCCGGAAGTCTGAAGTGGCTGCCTACCTGCAGAAGAAGTAAGGGAGTGAGTGAGCCTGAGTGAGGCTAGAGGTTGAGGCAGGACAGGGAGGAGCTGCAGAGTTCCCTCCACTGGCCGCCCCTCCCTTTCCCTGTCTTCCTCTCATCACTCCATTATTCTTGTCTAGTCCCTCAACATCCTGATCCCTTTCCCCCTCACTCCCTCACCATGCCTGCTTCTTCTCAGTCACACTTGTAGCACCTCTTCTCCATACCCTTTGTCCCTGCTAATGGCCATTGGACACTGTCACATTGCCTACTTCAGACTCCACATGTCCCTACCACTCAATATTACATGGAGGTGCCAGCTGCAGAATGGACTCTGGCTGCCAACTTACCCTCTTGGACCCAGGACCCAGTCTGGTTGTGCCTTTCCCTTGCCTGGTCTGCCCCTGTCAGGCCCCATGATATGTGTAGGCCCTGGGGGCCCCTTTGCATCTGTGCCCTGCAGCCCAGTTCCTTGGCTTCAGGCTTCACCCCCATTCTCCCCTGCAGCAATGACTTCAGCAGGGCTGTGGCTGAGGAGTACTTGTCCTTCTTCCAGTTTGGAGGCCAGAGCCTGGACCGTGCCCTCCGGTAACACCTTTGGGTCCTCCCTGGGGAGGCTGTGGGGGAGGGCAGTGGCACCAGGCCTGAGGCTGGGAGCTGATTGGACCTTAGATCCTAGGTCCTGCAGGGCCCTGTCAGCCTTGGCTCTGATCAGCTTTGGCCTTCCTTCTCAGGAGTTTTCTCCAGGCCCTGGTGCTCAGTGGAGAGACTCAGGAGCGCGAACGGATCCTCTACCAGTTCTCAAAGCGTTTCCTCCACTGCAATCCAGGGGTCTTCTCCTCAGTAGGTAGGGAGGGGTCAGCTCTGGGGGCAGGGGCTTTGGGTACCTGGGAGAATGATAGCACAAATGTGGTCCCCCCATGTCTGCTCAGGAGTTCACTGTTAGTTCAGTGGTGGTGGTGCAAGTGTGTTGGGTGTAGGAGAAATGGAAACATTGTGGGGTCACCCAGCCTAGTGGTGACAGGAGGAGCAGGAATTCTGATTCTGATTTCAAATGAGCTTTTTCTCCTCTGGTTTCCCTCTGGGACAGATTCTGTGCACACCTTGACCTGTGCGATCATGCTCCTTAACACTGACCTGCACGGACAGGTAGGAGGGTGGGGAGAGTGCCTGTGGAAGAGGCAGGGGGCTGTGGTGAGGGACCTTGGAATTTTCAAAGGTGCAACAGGAGGTGAATTGAGAGTCTTGTGAGTGGGAGTGAGAGGAAGAGAAGACCAGCTTTGCTGGGAGGGGATCAGGAAAGAGCCCCAGGGGATGTGGATGTGGAGAACAGGTGGAAGCTCCCAAGGGGCTAGGGAGTTTATAAGATTGGGGTGGGGTATATGACAACTGCCCCTTCTCCCCATGGCCACAGAACATTGGGAAAAGCATGAGCTGCCAAGAATTCATCACCAACTTGAACGGCCTGCAGGATGGCAGGAATTTTCCCAAGGAGCTGCTGAAGGTATGGTAGGGCTCAGGACCCCGGGCTCACTGCTGGGGATCAGAAGCCTTAGCTCCTTATCCCAAGGAGAATGCTGAGCTCTGGACTGGCTCTGACAAAATGTCCTTGAGAGAATGTTGTCAGATGCTATGGAGTCGGTGCCTGACTCATTGCAAAAAGGGCATGCGGTTGGCATCTTCTGACCTTCTCTGACTTCACAAGAGGAAGACAGAATCACCATCAGCAGCCCAAGGTTATTCCTGTAAGGCCAGGCATGCTGCCACCCTCCAGCCTTTTACCAATTCTGACACCAACCATCCCTCCCACGGCACTCACTACTTCTCTTCTGGGTTCAATAACTCATTGCAGTGTCCACACAGAACTTAAATAATACTCATGCTTATAGAGTTTATTAGGGAAGTAACAGGCTAAAATTTAGGTTCAGGAATGCTCTCAGGATACAGTTCTTAGATCAAGACAGGCTCCTCTCTGCTGTGCCCTCAGACACACCTCTCTGGCCCTTGGCCTCTTGGCCTGGCCTCTGCCCTCTGCCCTGCTTGGGCAAGTGTTACAAAGCTTATTTAGCTTTGCTGATAAGTACACCTAGGTGCACCCCACTCTGTCATCAGCAAGCCTCCTGCCCAAGGGCACTCAGCTTTCTCACTCTGTGGGCCAGGTAAGCCTGCGGCTCTGTCATGTGCCTCTTGGTTCCACTCTGATTGTCTCTCTGCTAGGTATCTCTCTCTGCCAGGGCACCTCTCTCTGCTGAGAGTCTCTCTCTGCCAGGCATCTCTGCCAGGGAGGTCCAGTGCAGGGATCTTGGGTCTGAGGATGCACTCTATCTACTTCACCTCTAGCTCTTCTCTCTTGATGGCAGTGAGATCCCCTCTCTGTCTCTAAGAGGGCTCTTTAAGCCTGACAGAGTGACAAAACTAACCAATCCCAACATCAGAGTTCTACACACCTTATTTGCATGGTAATCTGATGGGAGTTACAAAGACAATGGCTAGAAAATACCAAGTAATTCATTACATCACACTCATGGTGACTTCATGCACAACGGAACAAAATGCTGCCTGGTCCTGTGCCATCCCACGATTCATTGAAAACTGTACTATTGTGATCTATAAGGTTTTCCTTGGCTGATTTTTGGAAATAGGGCATCAGTCCTTTCTTCTTCATTCATCTTAGTCTGGAAGCTCTGCTGAAACCTATTCAGTATCACAGCACCATTTAACTCTCCACTGATAGATGGGTGGTGGCTGTACGTGAGGTGCATTGACCTTATTACAGGTCTGCTAAGAGTGTGGGCTGTGGCCAGCAGCACCACCTACTCCATGGAGTGCCTATTCATGGGCCCTGCCCTTGTGTTGTTGTTATGTGCTGTCGAGTCAGACCCAGCTCACAGCGACCCCTCCTTGGGTTTTCCGAGGCAATATCACTATGGAAGTAGATTGCCCAACCTTCTTTCCTGCCCTGGATCTACTGAATTCGAATCTCGATCCACTTTTGGTGATTCGCAGGCTTGCTAAAGTCTGAAAAGCACTGGCTTATTGGTTTTCTGAGTGAGCAAAGGGCAAAGCTTCAAGTGGAGCAAGTCTAGAGCTCAGCTTTGGGAGCCTGGTGTTCCTGCCTTCATATTCTTGTCTTGACCACTTACCTCTTGGCCAGCTCACATTTTCTCATGGTGGTTATTGCCATCTCACAGAGTTGCTAATGAGATTAAATAGTTTGCCAAATGCTTATCACTGTGTCTGGAACACAGCATGCTCTTCACAGTCAATTAGATCATTTGTTCTTTCATTTATTTTTTAAAAACACAAACCAGATGCCTTTGAGTTGATACTGACTCACAAGACACCCATGTGTGTCAGAAAAGAACTGCACTCCATAGGGTTTTCAGTGGCTGATTTTTTGGGAATAGATCATTTTTAGGCCTTTCTTCTGAGGGACCTCTGGATGGACTTGAACCTCTAACCTTCTGGTTAGCAGCCAAGTATGTTAACCGTTTCTATCATACAGGGAATGTTTATTGAACAGCTGCTTTGTGCCAGACCCCTTGCTAGGTACTGCAAAGGCCGCAAAAATCAGGGCTTTGAGCTGGCTCATTCTGGTTCTTACCCCTGCTGAAAATTTGCATTTCCAACTCTGATATACTCAATCAGAACCTACATTTTAACCAGTTCTAGGCAGAACCTTCCACAAGCAGAGTTATTAACACACCTGACAAAAGTGCTCCATAATTTATTTTGTGGATGAATGGATGGATGAACTGCTTCCCTGACTCAAGGCAGAAGGGCAGCTATGTTTTACAGGGGGACGTGGAGCAGGCAGGTTGCAGACACACCCCTATGCTACCTTTGCCACACAGAGAGGGCCCCATAGGGCCCAAGGCTCAACCTGTCCACCTGTGTGCTTCTGTTCCAGGCCCTATACTGGTCTATCCGAAGTGAGAAGCTTGAATGGGCCGTGTAAGTGAGAGCTTTCCTTTCCCCTCCTGGCCCTCCAGGTGAGAGCCTGTCTCTGGGCCTGTCTTCCCTCCACTTGCCCATCTGGGAGTTGGAAAAGCTCAGGGCCCTGAACAGTGTTCCTAGCTGGGTGGGATGAGGTCAGGGCCAGGGCACTGGTCTAGTCTCAGAGAAGGATGGAGAGGAGCCCAGGCAATACTTGGAGGACCCAAGGGTAGCAAGGGAGTGGGTATAGTTGTGAGTGAGGAAACTGATGGGTTAGTTTGGAGAGATGACTTCTTTTGGGAGGTCCTGGGGTATGGATCTCCAGCAAAAAAGGAGGTGCTGAGGCCCTGGGAGATAGTGGTCACCTCCTGATGGTCTTTGCCCAGCCAGTCCTTCCAGCCTGATTCTCTCATGTCCAGGGATGAAGAAGATGCAGCCAGACCTGAGAAGACCAGGCCTTCTCCCTCAGCTGGCAAGACGAGCAACCCCTTTCTTCAGCTGGCCCAGGACCCCACAGTGCCCATCTATAAGCAGGGCATCCTGGCTCGGAAGATGCATCATGATGCGGATGGCAAGAAGAGTGAGTGTCTGCTGCCCTGTGATTGTGTGTGGGTGGCTGTGTGGACAGAGCTGAAGCATGGCAAGGGTCTGCTCAGGGGCATGTGTGTCTGTATGCCCAGGGAGTGCAAAGAGACATGGAACCTGTTGAGGACAAGCAGCGTGTGTTCCCTTCTCAGCATGTACTGCAGGCTGAAGGTGGGACTGCAGGCTGAAGGTGGGACAAGGGCTGTGCCAGGCACTGGGAGGCAGAAGGGAGTGAGAGAAAATAGACCTCAGAGAGCCTATGTATAGCAGAAATTAGACAAGTACATCAGTGTCTACAATGAAAGGTAGAAAGAGGTGAGTGGTGTAGGAGGGATAGAGCAAGCACGGGGGCTTGGAGGAGGGAAAGGTTTTGGTTTTAGTTTTTGGGGTGGGATGTTGGGAGCAGGGATAGGGAAGGCTTCTGGGAAATCTTGGGGTCCAAGCTGAGCCTTGGAGAATACAAGGATGTGGGCATTTGAAATTGGACAGAGGACATCTCCCACAGAGAAAAGAGCAAATGGAGTTTGGTCAGAATATGGGGTATGTCAAAGAGAATGGTGGGGAAATGTTTTGGGGGAAAAATTACCAGGTTCTAAGTTTAGGTCTCATTCCACAGGCAACTGAAGGCTGTAGGGCAGGGCAGCAACATGACCAGAGCAGTGTTCTAGGCAGATTACTCTGGAAGCATGGATAAAATAGAATGGAGATGTGATGACTAGGAAGGGGATCAGCAATCATGTGCAAGAAACTACAGGGACGTGAGCCAGGCCCTGGCAATGTGGCCACAGGGAAATCAGGCCTTTTGTGTACAGACTTTAGAGTTTAGGAGCAAGAGTGAGTCTCCCCAAACAAGACCAGGGTGCAGGGTAGTGGAGAGAAGGCAGGGGAGGAAGGAAGCCAGCAGTTGGTGCCCAGAGTAGGGTACACAGGGACGGATGCCTCCTCTCAGAAGATCCCTCTGGATTGGTACACAGAGGAGGAGCCAGAAAATGTCTAGATGGAACTGTGCTTGTGGGTGGTGTGTTTGCATATTGGCAGATAGGGTTGAGGGTATGTGTTCAGGGAGGGGATGGTCTGTATGATCATCACATTTGTACATGAAGAGTTCTCTGCCTTCGTTTCCAAGTGTGATTGCCTGTGTGTGGAGAGACTGTGTATGTGTGTGATTATACGAGCTTGTTTGTTGGTACGCTTAAATGTGCGTATGTGTGGATGGGGAGCATCCTGGGGAGGGACCGGAGGTGGTGCTGGAGGCATGGGGACTCAGAGACTGTGTTTGCACATGTGTATGTCTGAGTGTGTGAGACTGTTTGAATGGGGGTGCGGCCATCTAACTTTGTCTTCTGCTCTGGGAGCAGCACCTTGGGGCAAGCGTGGCTGGAAGATGTTCCACACCTTACTGCGAGGAATGGTACTCTATTTCCTGAAGGTAGGGAGGCAGTGGACACCCCTTACGGAGTACTGTGGTGAAGGGGAGGGTCAACTGTTGAGAGGGTGGGCAACTGATAACCTTTCCTGAGCCCCTGTGCCCAATGACAGGGAGAAGAACAGTGTCCTCAGGGGGAGAGTTTGTTGGGGCAGATGGTAGATGAGCCTGTGGGGGTGCACCACTCTCTGGCAACCCCTGCCGCCCATTACACCAAGAAGCCACACGTCTTCCAGCTGCGTACTGCTGACTGGCGCCTCTACCTCTTCCAGGCACCGTAAGTCCCTGGGGTGGGATACAAGCAGCAAGGGCTCAGACCCTCCCTGCCCATCTAGCCTTCCTCTCTTCTGACTCCCTGCTCACACCCTTGACACCTGCTTACCCTGGCAATGGTGCAAGGCACCACACTTACCAAGAATACTTGGAATGCTGTAGCTAGAAGAGGTCATTATACCAGCTGGGTAGCGTTGATTCTGACTCACATACTTGTTGTTAGATGCTGTTGAGTTGGTTCAAACTCATAGAACCCTATGAATGATATAACAAAAACACTGCCCAGTCATACCCATACTCAAAATTGTTGCTAAATTTGAGCCCATTGTTGCGGCCACTATGTCAGTCCATCTCCTTGAGGGTCTTTCTCTTTACGAAGCATGATGTCCTTTAGGGAATGGTCCTTCCTGATAACATGTCCGAAGTATGTAAAATGAAATCTTGCCATCCTTGCTTCTAAGGAACATTCTATCTGTACTCCTTCCAAGACAGATTTGTTTGTTCTGCAAGTCTGTGGCTTATTTAAATATCTTCACCAACACAATTCAAAGGCATCAGTTCTTCTTTGGTTTTCCTTGTTCATTGTCCAGGTTTCACATACATGTGAGATGACTGAAAACACCATCGCTTAGGTCAGGCCCAGCCTCCTTCCGAAGAGGCTGGGCAATGTACTTTCCGAAGTGATACTGCCTCAGAAACCCAAGGAGGGGTCGCCATGAGTCGGGTCTGACTCAATGGCACATAACAACAACAACAACAGGTCAGGCACATCTTACTCTTCAAAGTGACGTCTTTGCTTTTAACACTTTAAAGAGATCTTTTGCAGCAGATTAGCCCAATACAGTATGCCATTTGATTTCTTGACTGTTGCTTCCATGGGCGCTAATTGTGGATCCAAGTAAAATGAAATCCCTGACAACCTCAGTCATTTCTCCATTTATCAAAATGTTGCATATTGGTCCAGTTGTGAGGATTTGTGTTTTATGTTGATGTATAGTCCATAATGAATGAAGACTGTAGTCTTTGATCTTTATCAGGAAGTGCTTTAAGTCTTTTTCTCTTTCAGCAAGCAAGGTTGTGTCATCTGCGTATCATCCTCCAATCCTGATGCAGAGTTCTTCTTCATATAGTCCAGCTTCTCAGATTATTTGGTCAAGTGTACAGAATGAATAAGTGTATGAAAGGATACAACCCTGATGCATACCTCTTGATTTTAAACTGTGCAATATCTTCTTGGTGTGTTTGAATAAATGCCTCTTGGTCTATATATAGGTTCTTCATGAGAACAATTGACTGTTCTGGAATTCTTTGAAATGTCATCATAATTTCTATGATCCACACAGTTTTTATTGTGTAGTCAATAAAAGACATGTAAACACCCTTGTGGGATTCTGTGCCTTCAGCCAAGATCCATCTGACACCAGCAATGGTATCCCTCATTCCATATCCTCCTCTGAATTTGGCTTGAATTTCTGGTAGCTCCCTGTCTATGTATGTACTGATGCAACTGTTTTTAAATTATTTTCAGCAAAATTTTACTTGTGTGTTATAGTAATGATATTGTTCCAAAATTTCCACATTCTGTTGATCACCTTTCTTTGGAATGGGCACAAATATTGATCTCTGTCAGGAAGTTGGCCAGGTAGCTGTCTTCCAAATTTCTTAGCATAGATGAGTGAGTTCTTCCAGTGTTGGATCTGTTTGTTGAAATATCTCAATGTGAATCCCATCAACTTCTGGAGCCTTGGTTTTTGCCAGTGCCTTCAGTGTAGCTTGCACTTATTCCTTCAGTACCATTGGTTCTTGATCATGTGTTGCCTTCAGAAATGGTTGAACACCAGCCACTTCTTTTGGTACAGTGACTCTGTGTATTCCTTCCATCTTCTTTTGATGTTTCCTGCATCATTCAATATAGAATCTTTCAATATTGCAACTTGAGGCTTGAATTTTTTCTTCAGTTCTTTCAGCTTGAGAAATGCCAAATGTGCTCTTCCCTTTTGGTTTTCTAACTCCAGCTCCTTATACATTTCATTACAAACTTTGCTTTGTCTTCTTGAGCTGCCCTTGGAAATCTTCTGTTTGCTTGAGCTGCTGTATATTCAACAGCAAGTTTCAGAGTCTCTTCTGATATCCGTTTTGTTCTTTTGTCTTTTTAATGACCTTTTGCTTTCTTCATGTATGATGTCCTTGATATCATTCCACAACTCACCTGGTCTTTGGTTCCCAGTGTTCAATGCATCAAATCTGTTCATTGGATGATCTCTAAATTCAGGTGGATATACTCAAGATCGTATTTTGGCTCTCTTAGATTTGTTTTAATTTTCTTCAGCTTTGAAGCTGCAGTTGAACTTGCACATGAGCAATTAATAGTCTGATCCACAGTTGGCCCCTGGCTTTGCACTGACTGATGATATTGAGCTTTTCTATGACCGCTTTCCACAGATGTAGTTGATCTGATTCCTGTGTATTCCATATAGCAAGGTCCACATGTATATTCATTATTCATGTTTTTGAAAAAAGGTATTTGCAGTGAATAACCAGTTGGTCTCGCAAAATTCTGTCATGCGCTCTCTGGCATTGTTTCTATCACCAAGCCTCACTACTACTGCTTTCAACTTTCTCATACCAATTACCAGTAATTATCAATGAATCTTGATCAATTTCAGACTGCAGAAGTTGGTAAAAATCTTTAATTTCTTCATCTTTGGCATTAGTGGTTGGTGTGTAAATTTGAATAGTAGTTGTATTAACTGTATGTGTTTAGATATTATCCTATCACTAACAGAATGAGGCAAATTGACTCGATGGCAGTGAGTTTGGTATCACTGACAGTGTTGTTCTTCAGCATAGATCTTGAAATGTTCTTTTGACAACAAATGTGATGACATTCTTCTTCAATTTGTCATTCTCTGCATAGACAACCATATGATTGTTTGATTCAAAATGACCAATAGTAGTTCATTTCAGCTCACTGATTCCTTGGGTGTTTATCTTCAAACGTTCCATTTCATTTTTGACAATGTCCAATTTTCCTAGATTCATACTTTGTGCATTCCACATTCCATCTACTAATGGATGTTTGCAGCTGTTTCTTCTCATTGTGAGTTGTGTTACATCAGCACATGAAGGTCCTGAAAGCTTCACCCCATTACCGTGGACTCTACTTTGAGGAGGTAGCTCTTCCCAAGTCATATTTTGACTGCCTTCCAACATGATGGGCTTATCTTCTAGCAGAATATCAGTTTCGCTGCTATTCATAAGGTTTTCACTAGCCAATTTTTTTCAGAAGTAGACTGCCAAGTCCTTCTTCCTACTCTGTCTTAGTCTGGAAACTCTGCTGAAATCTGTCCACCATGGGTGACCCTGCTAGGATTTGAAATACTGGTGGTATAGCTTAAAATATCACGTAAGCCACCACAGTACGACAAACTGACAGACCGACTCATGGCGGCCCTGTGTGTGTCAGAGTAGAACTGTGCTCCATAGAGTTTTTGCTGTTTGTTCAAAAGGACATCTCCAGTCTTCTGAGGTACCTCTGGGTGAACTCAAATGTCCAACTTTTGATTAGCGGCCAAGCTCATTAACTGTTTGTACCATTCAGGGACTCCTTGAAGAGGTTGTGGGGCTGGCACATATGAAGCATGCATGCCCCCTGCTCCTCTCTTCTGCCCCTTGGCAGATTTTGTCAATGGACCAAACTTTTCTATTTAAGCCCAAATTAAGCCTCAGAGTCCTAAATAGAGGAAACCACTGTCCTCCAGTAGATTCTGATTCATAATGACCCTATAGGGCAGAGTAGAGCTGCCTGATATTTTCCAAGGTAAATCTTTACAGAAGTAGACTGCCTCATCTTTCTCCTGCAGAGCAGCTGTTGTTGTTTCATGTGCCAACTCATAGCAACCCCCTCCTTGGGTTTCCAAGACAGTATCACTACGAAAGTAGATTGCCCAACCTTCCTTCTGAGGAGTGGCTGGTGGGTTTGAACCGCCAGCCTTCTGGTTAGCAGTCAAGTGCCTTAGGCACTAGGCTACCGTGGGGAGCAGCTAGTGGGTTCTAACCACCAACTTTTGGTTAGCAGCCAAATGCTTTAACTATGGCACCACCAGAGGTCCCCTGAATAGATCGTGTTTTGGCACGTAATATAAAAACTATTTCCTTCCCGCATTTTACTTGATAACAGATGAGAGAAACCGGATGAGATCAACCACCCTGCCAGAAGCAGAGCTTCTCGCCGTTTTGAGGTTCTGACCTGGCCTGTGTCCTGAGCGCCTGGATGGCAGTGTAGATCACTGAAAATTGGGGGTGGGGTTGGGGCAGGTGAGCGGACTGCCTCTGTGGCCCTGGAGACCGACGACTTCCTCTGCCCACAGTACTGCCAAGGAGATGAGTTCCTGGATCGCGCGCATCAACCTGGCCGCCGCCACGCACTCGGCGCCGCCCTTCCCCGCCGCGGTGGGCTCCCAGCGCCGATTCGTGAGGCCCATCCTCCCGGTGGGCCCTGCCCAGTGCTCCCTAGTACGATTTCCGGGCAGGTGCAGGGTGCGAGGGTGGGGCGAGGCGGTTGGGGAGGCGATTTGCACACTTGAGTATGGACAGGGCGAGGAAATGAAACGGAAGGGGTTTGTAGACCTGTGCCTGGAAACGGGCGGGGCGAGGTGTGCCCTTGGCATAGCTTCTCCTACCGCCTCCTGCTCCCAGGAAGAGCAGCATCGATCCCACGAGAACTGCTTGGATGCTGCCTCCGACGACCTGCTGGATCTGCAGAGAAACTTACCCGAGCGGCGAGGCCGCAGCCGCGAGCTAGAGGAGTACCGTTTGCGCAAGGAATATCTCGAGTATGAGGTGAGCGCCTGTGTCTCCCACCCCTTCACCCAGAATCTCCCTGGCTGTGCGGCTGGGCGCCCGCCTCTCTGTCCTCTCGGCTGGACCCTTTGCTGCCCTCTCGTGGCTTCGCGAAGCTTGCCACCTTCACTCCCCTCTGTGAGACGCCTAGGGCAAGGGTACAGGTGCCTGTGTGAGCTGTCTGCGTACAAGCGTGTGCACTCAGCCTCTTCACATTTTGTCCTGGGGGCACAAAGCAGCTGTTTGTATGGGAACAGAGCGGAAGCGTTATTTTTATCACTTGTTTTCTTCTAAGAGTTTTAAGTTTTCACCAGATTGAAAGACAAAAGTTGTATTCTAAATAATAGAATAATCACATTCTAAATTCTAATAATAATAATAGATAGTATAGGCACACTGGAGCCCTGGAGGCACAGTGAAGCACTCACTTGTCTGCTAACCAAAAGGTTTGTGAACCCACAGCCCTCCCTGGGAGAAAGACCTAGGGTTCTGTGGCTATAAAGATTACAGCCTAGGACACCCTACTGGGCAGTTCTACTCTGTCACATGGGGTTGCTAGGAGTTGAAAATCGACTTTAAGTGGCACACAGCAACAACAGGCACATTGCATGGATTATCTTATTTAATTATCTAACTCCAGGGTAGATACTACTATCTTCATTTTACAGATGAGGAAACTGAGGCACAGAGAGATTATTATACAACTTGTCCAAGATCACACAGTGGGTGGAGGAGCCAGAAGTTGAACATGTACCCTCTCAACCACTACACTCTTCCAAACCTGATAAACTGGCATGCCACTCCTATTAAGTGTGTGCCTCAATAATGGTCTTCCCTAAGGAGTGGCCATCTTGGCATCACTATGTTAGGTGCCAGCATGTGTTAGTCCCTACCTCTTCCAAAACATGTCTGAATTCTGATTTGGCTGCATGTCAACATGTATTCAGTGACTGAGTGCTTGCTTCAAAGGTCCTGGGCAACCTGTGCTTAGGGTGGAGCCCATTGGGCAGAAGGGATGTTTGAAATGCAGTATGAGGACAGCAGGGATCAAAGGCCAGCAGAGGCAGAGACCAGGGAAGGGGTGGTAAGCATCGGTTCCTGGCTGTGCCCACTGGGCCTTCATGTGTCTCCCCTCCCTTCCCTGGCCTGTCTTAAACCTCCTTGTGCATTCCTTTGGGTGCTTGGATGAATACATGCTTGTGAGCATACCACTTTCCAGAAGCACTGAGGTGTGGCCAAAAGGACCTGGCTCTGCCCTCAGAATTCCAACCTTGCTGCTGACCAGCCATGATCTTTAACAAGCCTGTGACCTTCCCTACACCTCATTTTTCTTCTTCATAAAACAGAGACAGTGACTCATGCCCTCGCCAACCTCACAGGGCTGCAATGAGTATCCAGTGGGATGGAGAATGGGAAAGCATTTGCAAACTGGGGACTACATCTGAAGGCTGCTAGTTACTGTTACTTAAGTCCTGCCCAGATGCCTTAGGAGTGTTAGACGGTAGTTGGCACCATGTGCTACAGATGCCAGTTATTAAAATGTTATTCACACTCAACTAGAGTTTAGTATAGCTGAGAACTATTATGTCTACTGTTGCACACATCTTAGGTATAGCGGGCTACATATCGTTTAGTGTCTCGGAGATATAACACGTTCTAGAGATGTTAGTTACAGCACTACAAGGTGTTGATGATTAGAACATGGCTAAGCTAATATGATTATTCTAATACTGTACAGATAACTACAGTTTTATAATAGGTTTCCATTGTGCTCTGCAGAATCCGGTGGTTCAAGTACCAGAACCACCGAGTGATAGGATCTGTTGGTCTGTCTAGTCCTCTGCAGAAGGCTTTATCAGCATAGCTTCATACAGATGTGAGCTGATTCTTATGATTGCAGCCTTCCTGCCCAGAGACAGGAGGGTGCTAAGGGGCGGGGCCTGTGTGTTGCAGAAAATGCGCTACGAGACATACGTGCAGCTGTTGGTGGCCCGTCTGCATTGCCCCACCGAGGACCTGGACCCGTGGGAGGAGCAGCTGGGGAAGGAAACTGGAGATGTCCAGGAGCCCAAGCCTAGCCTGAAGAAGTCTCACTCAAGCCCGTCCCTGCACCAGGATGAGGCCCCCACAACAGCCAAGGTGAAGCGCAACATCTCAGAGCGCAGAACCTACCGGAAGATCATCCCCAAGCGGAACCGCAATCAGCTGTGAAGCCGGCACCAAAGCCAGCACCACTTCTCAGATACTGGTCCCTGCCCCAGGGTAGACTTGAAGTGAAACCTAGAGGAGCGTTATTTCAGTGAATTCATGACAAAGGATGAGGTATCTCCCCCTCCCAGCTAGGAGGGAACCCACGTCCTCCGGTTCCCTTTGGAAGGACAGCCCCTCATTTCCCTGTTGGTCTTCATTCTTTCACTTACTGGAGCTTTCCTGATATTGCTGGATCCTTTCTTCCATGGAGTCCCTCAGTTGCCCTAGGCCCACTCCTGAGGAAGCTTGAGGACTTGGCTCCACTTCCCAAGGTCTTCTCATGTCGTCCTTCAGCTTCCCTTCCTTAGGCAGGATCCAGAGCTGTCTATTTCCCAGGCCAGTGAGAAGGTCAGCACTTGTTTGAAAAGCAGAGCACAAGTGGGTCCCTGGTCTTCTGGGAGATTGCAGGGGCAGCAGAGGACTCTGGGAAGTCAAAAACCAGGGGAGCAACAACCCTGAGGATAGTCTTACTTTAGGATTGAGATGCCCTGCTTGGGGAGCCCCAGGAGAGGACTCCCAGCAGACACCAACCAACCTGTCTTGCTAGAGCCTGCCCTGCCCACCAACAGGGCAGGGGCAAGGACTTCAGCAAGCTCCAGGGCTCCAGGAGGCTGACCCTGAGGCCCTATGGCTTTGTCTCCTTCTGGCTCTTTTTTCCCCCACATTCATGCATGAACCTAGGCAGATGAGAGAGGCTCTGGCCTCGTGAGCCCAGTTGCTAATCAGCAGAGCAGAGCCAAGGCCTGTTAGTGAGGGCCGAAGGAGTGTCAGGGTTTCTGAGCACTGTGGAGAGCCCTGAGGCTCTGGGAACAAGGGGCCTTTGTTTTTTCAGAGCAGGAAAAGGGGGTTCTCCAGGTTCATATCCCTGGGGAGAGTAGTTAAAGGTGGTAACACTTAGGGAGAGGAGAGGTCTTCCTTGGCTGGAGCCAAAGCTGAGATTTGTGAGAGATGGTGGGGTAGAGGCCTGGAAGGCCAGTGAGGCCCAGGTCAGGCTCAAGATATTCCTGTGGTTCAGCAGGTCTGAGAAAATACTCCATGCCCCCCTTGCCACACACCACTCCTTAAAAGCTCCATTGTCATGAGGCATTAGGCCCCCTTCTGTGCCCCTTGCCCACCCCTGGCCAGCTCACAGGGGGTTAGCTGCCCTCCCCTGAGAAATCCCAGAGCACTGCCCTCTGGCTATCTCCCAGCTGGGCTTGTTCTCTAGGGGAGCTTCCGGAGACTCAAGGACCCGAGGCTCTGCCTGTGGGAAGAAGGCTGGGCTGGAGGGAGCAGCCACCATTGTCTCTGTTCAGCCAAGTGTGCGACCAGGCTGCCTGCTGGCCGCCTGCAGCCGCCCTGCCTCTCCAGCCTTCCTTCTGGGCCAGCTTCTTGTTTTCTGATGATTGTTACCGGTTCCTCAGCTAAAGATTGGCCATGGGGGCCATTCCAGGTCTCTGATTAGGCCATGCACCCAATGGGTGCGCAATAAATACAGGCCAAAAAACAGAGGTGTGTGCAAGTGTGTGAGGAGGAGAGAGCCAGGCACTTCTGGGTAGGCGAGTCCACGTGGAGTGTGGTGGGCTGTTTCCCCCTTTGCTCTGTGTGCATATGGGTTTCTGCATGTGCACAGGCGTGTCTCTTTATGCACACTCTGTGTGCATTAGCATGCAGGACTCACACATTCATAGGCTGTCAAAGCTGGAGGGGACATTGGCATCCTTATTCATCCATTTCCTTGCTCATTCACTCATTCATTCCACAAATACACACTGAGCACTTTTGATGGGCCAGGGCTAGGGAAATCCAGAATGAATTAGGGGATGCAGCCCTGCCCCTGGTTCCCAGCTGTCAGTCTGGAGGTGAACTTTATCATGCTGGGGAAGCAGGCTGAAAAGACATTCTAGACCCCCACCCAGGATTCTCATTCAGTAGGTCTAGGTCGGGGATAGACATATATTTTTAAAACTCCTAGGGTAACTGACGTGTAGTAGGAGTAAGAGTCATGGCAGAGTCCAATTGTCTCATTTTATTGAGCTAATAACTTAGCATCAGAGGGGCGTTGTTGGGCCAGGACTGATGCTTAGAAGATAAATGGTCTTCTGTGGGTTATTTAACCTCACTGGACATGTGTCTTTATTTCTAAAACTGGAATAAAAGGTAGAGGGGTGTATGTGTGTGTGTGAGAGAGAGAGAGAGAATGACACTGATAGACTGATGCTCCTTTGGTTTTGTAGAATGGGTACCTCCCTTTCTCCTGGACACATGAAGCCCTCAGAGCTTGGTGATTATGGCTCCCTGGCCTCACCCAACAATGCTGCCCAGACCCATTACCCCTTTGCCTGGAGGGTCTTTGAAAGTGGAGACTGAGTGGCTGAGATGCAATTAGGACATGTGACCACTGGGGGGCGGCCTTGCATTTTCCTAGCTGCCAGCTGCAGAGTTGGTCTCATTGGAAGGACTGGAAGTTAGTCTTTGTACTCCAATGTCATCTACGGAACCAGGATCTTTACTTCCTTAAGCCTACAGTGGCTAGACTAGGACTCCCACCCTCTGAAGCAGTCCTTCCCAAATGAAAGGTTAGGATTGATATCTTTTTGCAGATGGAGAGGAAGAAAGATGTTTCTGAAGCCTTGTGGGGACAGCCTAGAGCTCCCCACAGATTGGCTCCAGGTAACCCAAGAAAGTAAAAGCTGAGTGATCCTCCAGCTCCAGAGAGATCAAGCCAACACAGCCCTAATCACTTTGTCTCAACCCAACCCTTTTTTTTCCCATCTGTGTAGTGGGTGGTTCCATCTCTTTGGAGGAGAGGGGATGAGTAACAACATCTTTTGGTGATGAGCTCAGCTCAGTAAGGGGGGATGAAGTTTGTCTGCAGTGTCTTCCATCTTAGGGAGCTCAGCCTCCAAGACCCTTAGCCTGCTGTGGCCCAGGGTGACAGCCCTGATGTACTTCTTCCTGTCTCATGACACTGCTTGTCCTAGCTTTCTGCTGATGACATTCATGTTTGTTGTTTGCCACACACCACAGAAGATTAAAAAATCAAGGCCTGGGTCCTTTCCTTTGGGGACTTAGTGGGCTTGGAGATAACAAGTGGTGTGTGTTGTGGCTTGAAAGGAGCTGGACTGGAGTTTAGGAGTGATGGGGTAGGGGAAACATGGCTGGAAGGATGGGTTAAGGCCAGACCATTAAGGGCCTTGAATGCAAGGCCAAAAATAATATTTAGCTGACAGCAGGCAAGGCGTGTGGCTCTTTTGTGAATATGCATTGTGGTTCTCAAGCTGAGGAGGGAAAGGCTCATGGCTTGGGAAATAGCCTGGGAGTTTTGCTTCATGAAGGTAAAGTGACTTGAGTGAATAAGCCCAAGAGGAAGGGTCAGAATATGCCCTTGAAATATTCCATACTATTTGTACAACTTGATTTGGGAGGCAGTGGTGGTTCACTGATAGAATTCTCACCTTCTGTGTGGGAAACAGGCTGGTATTCCTGGCCAGTGCACCTCAAGTGCAGCCATCAGCCATCTGTCACTGGAGGCTTGGGTGTTGCTATGATAGTCAACAGATTTCAGGGGAGGTTCCAGACTAAGACCAGGAAGAAGGGGCTGGTGATCGACCTCTGAAAATCAGCCAGTGAAAACCCTATGGATCACAGTGGTCTGAACCTGTTATGCACGGGGTCTCCAGAAGTCAGGACCTAACTCAGCAGCAGCTAGCAACAATGACAACGACACTTATTTCAAAATAAAAAACACAAAGGAAAGAAGGAAAAAGGACTGTGGCCTGGAACCTTGGGACAACCTGAAGGCAACATGGACAACCTGGTAATCCAGCCCTGCTTCTCCCCCCTTTGCCCTCCTGCCCGTACTCCGTGTGCAGGCTCACAAGTGTTTGTGGGTTTCCTGAATGACCCTCAGAGCCTCACTCTCTACAGTAGCTCCTCACACCATTCCTCTCTGTCAACACATTTGTCTCCAGCTTTTCTTGATGTCTTGTGGTTTTCCACACACCACAGAAGATCAGAAAATCACCAAGGCCTGGATCCTTTCCTTTGGGGAATTATGAGGGCTTGGAGATAACAAGGGGTGTATGTTGTAAGTTGAAAGGAGATGAACTAACAGTGGCTCACACCTTTACCCATCCCATTCCACATCGCTTCTCTGTATGCTCATAATTGGCTCCTCAGACTACCCTTTCCTCTCCTGCCTGACATGTTCTCTCCCTCAGAAGTCTCATCTGGGGTCTTTGGGCCTTCTCTCTACTCTCTCCATTATCTTGGCTCACACACATCTTCAGGTATCACCATCATGAAGAAAAAATTAAAGGCCTGAATTTGACCCTGTTTTTCTCCCTGTAGCTAAGACCTGTTCCCCTTTCTATGATGGACTCACAGGACATACAGTCTTTGCCCACTATTTCCCTCTCTCACCTGGCCCTCATTCACATGTTGAAAACTGGTTTCCACCCCACCTCTGACTGAATGGCCACCCCTGGGAGCCACCAATGACCCTCAGTCACTAAATCCAGTGTCTTTTCTCATTCTTCATTCCCCCTCATGTCTTAGTGACCTTTGCCCCTGCTGGGCACATGACCTGTCCCAACCTGCATCAGATCCCCAAGAGGTGCTCACCAAGCCCAACAGGATCTGGCCTTGGCAATCAGACCCTATTTGGCCAATGTCTTTTTCCAACTATTTGACCTTGGGGCCAGTTACTTAACCTCTTGTGCTTCAGTTTGCTTATCTATAAAATGGGGATAATAACAGTACTTACCTCACAGGGGCCTTGTGAGGATTAAGTGAAATTATGTACGTAAACATCTGAGAACAATGCCTGGCACAGAAGAAAACCTGGTGAGTTAGCTATTAGTGTGACCTTGCCTCATGCATCCACCCCCTGCTTTTCTGGGTTCTAGCATAGGTCCTGCCCTCCAACATGCATGTCCTGCTTTGATGCTGGGCCCCTGTACTTGACTTTCTGAAACTGC